TTTCTTTAATTAATATTTTCAATCATAAAAAAGTAAATTAGCTAAAAAGGAGAGAGTTAATTGTGACATCAGTATTGAATTCATTTTATTGTAAAAAAATAACATGAAAATACAGTCACAGCAAGGGAGTTGAAGTAATTCGGCAGGATTTAGGCTTAGGAAAATCAATCACAAATCAATCTTTGTTTTTTTTTTTAAAGCACACTAAACAATTAGTTTCCTTACATGAAATCTTTATTTGAAATGCGATGAGAATCTTCCTGTAATTTTTGCAGATATAAGTGATAATTTCTGGAATCATTACTTCTTTACGTCACTCAGAATATTAAAAATAACCTTTCATTTAAAAAGCTACAACGCAAAGTAAAATTATAAATTTCCATTTTGAATATTTTTCTTTGTGTTCTCATTGGTGGCATATTCATTTTCAGACATATTCTACTTTTTTAATATCTATAATATTATGAAATAATGCTTAATCAAATTTACTCTTAGATGCACTTCATTCATCAATATATTTTATAAAAACTCAAGAGTCAATTCGAAACTTCCCGATGTTCATTTGTGGTGTAAGTCACTATACATTTGTTTGCATGATACCAAGAATTTTAATGCTGTTTCAAAAACTAAACATTGATAGTAGCCATTAGAAAGTCGTAGTTTGTACTCAGTATTCATCAATTTTCTGTCAGATAATGCTATGGAATTTCTCCCAGTATTTAAAAATTTATTTATTATAATACGATAGCCTTACGAAGCGAGAATTTCGATATACACATTTCAGTAATCATTGTTGACGCTTTTGATGAGCGACAATTTCATTTTAAATCAATGTGGTTTTGTGTATATTTCCCAATAATATTTAAGAGCCTATTTTTTTCCTTTTTTTTTTCAATGATGTTATTAACACTCGCAAATTTTTGATAAATTTCTCAATCAGGGAAAAACTCAGATAAATTTGTCTTTTTTTTTTTATTTTCAACATAAATTTTAAAAAAAGAGTGCCGGTTACTCTTTACTATTATGAGAAAAAATTAATGTTATTTAAATAAAGAGTGGCTCATCTCGATTTATTTCAAAAATTAGCTGAATACCCATTCTTCGTATTGGATGGAAAAAAAAGTAAATGATCAATAAATCAACCCTACGAAACCATGCACAAAACTGAAAAACACATACCGACACATCTGATTAAGCTGAAACATTTCCAATTTTTTATTTTTGTAATTTGTTGCCCTTATCTGTGACTTTATGTAATTAGATTAAACAAGACATACTTTTAAAACTTCATCCTTTTAAAATAAAGATAATTATATTCAGTAGCATTTGGCATAATCCTATTGCTCGAGGTCAGCTCCTGATAGTCAAAATTACCATAGTTAACAATTTTCTCTTGTACATGTCCCTTTTGGTAGACCGTAGAAAAATATTTCCATCTAGATATCTTGACACCAATATTAGTATATTTAATACTTATTAAAAAGCAGCAATCAACATAATAGCAGTTGTACCTAATACGAAAATTAATTAAGTATTATTTGCGACAATATTCAGGTGCTTTTTGATTTTTTTTTTTTTTTTCTATATGAAGCACCTTTTTTTCTTTAATTTTGCTTCCAGTGCAAAACTTATTTTTCATTTCAATTTTTACCTATTACCTAAATTATTTAAGTATCATTGGCGTCTATAACAATATAGCAAATTCCTACGAATTACGATTTACATTATCAAATTTTCTGATTCGAATTGTTGATCTGAATCACTTGATTTAAATCACTGATCTGAATAACTTTTTTATAAATAGTGCTTTGAATTAATTAATTTGAATCACTGAATAGAATCACATGATTGGTATCAGCGAACCAAATCACTTAAATTAAATCGGTGATTCTGCAGTACCACGTGATTCGAGTAGTACTTTAATCGTTCGATTTGAATCGCTGATCTGAATAGCTTGATTCCAATCACTATTCCAAATTACTTTATTCGAATAGTGATTTCAAACTTGTTTTGAATCACTGATTGGGATAGCTTGATTCGAATCTCTTAATTCAGAACAGTTATCTGAATCGCTTGATCTGAATAGGGGTTTGAATCAATTCATTCGAATCACTGATCAGACTCGATGGATTTCAATTAGAGATCTAAATCACATTATTCGAATCAGTGAGATGAACCACATCATTCATATATTAACCTAAATCACTTGATCCAAACTAGTGATTTGAATATCTTGATTCAAATGATTGATCCAAATCAATTCATTCAAATTATTGACCCGAATCACTTTATTTGACTCACTGATTTAAATCACTTGATCAGAATAGTGATTGGATCACTTGGTTCAAATTACTAATTCGAATCACATGACCTGTAATCTGATTCACTTGACTTGAATATTGATTTGAGTCACTTGATTTGAATCACTGATTCGTATTGCTTGATGCGAATAGTGATTTGAATCACTTGATAAGAGTGAGTACTTTGAACCACTTGATTCGTATCCTTCATTCAAATTACTGATCCGAAAACTGATTTGAACCGTTGATCTGAATCACTGTTTCAAATCGCTAAAATCGAATCAAGTATTTCAATTCATTTTTCGAATGAAGTGATTTGGAAAGCTGATTTAGATCTATTTTTTTTTTTCAAATCATCATTAACATTAGTGATTCTGGTCTGAGATTCATATCAGCGATTCAGAGTAGTGATTTACGAGTGATTCGGATCAGCAAAAGTTATTGAAATTTTTGATCAAATGTAAATAAGAATTATATATATATATCCTCACCTGCCTGTTAAGAAGAAATTTAATTCTCCCACTCTAGAAAGGGGAAAGCGTACAGAGGAAGGGAGAGAAGTTTTCGAGTATTATTTATAATAATATAACAGAGCTTTCAATGAAAATAAAAACTTTACTGGGGTATAAGTTAGAAAATCAAATTTAGTTTTAAATTTATTAATACACCACTAAATCTTAAATATTTAAACGCTACCAATGTATACTTAAAATATGTAGAGATAGCATTAGTATTAGACCCCAATTCTAAATTTAACTTCACTTCAATTTGTCAATTTTGAATTTCTGAACACCCCCCATGGAAAAGTTATACTTACCTGCTTGAGTCGTTGTATACAATGCTTAAGTAAAATATATATTAACTCTCACATTTTCTACGTTGCCCAACAACGCCAAGCATGTATAATACAAAGCTTACATTCTTAATATTGCCGAACATATACAGAACAGAAAAATATATTGATTGCCTTTAACGAAATTTTTCAATTATTCCTATTGGACAACAATAAATTAATTCTATAAGTTTCCGTTCTGGTTCAAGCAAAAATTGGAAAACACAACACACGCAAGAAAAAAGGCATCTATTGGAATTGATGTTCGTGCATTTATATTCCTAATATCTAAGAAAAAAAGATAAAACTCATCAAGCAGTAAAAAGAAAACTACCTACTGTAATCTAAAACAATTCCTGAAATGGCACTAATTCAATGAAAATTTGGATATTAGCAAATAAATGCATATAAAAACGTGAAAAGAAAATAATTGCTTTTTTTTATTGAAAACAAGAAAACAGAAGAATCCATCCTCAGTTTCAAGAATTCAATTGAACATTGAAGAAGTGGAAGAAAAAAAGAAAAGAATAAACTCTTTTTTAAATAAATTAAAGAATTGCAGTAATTTTTTAGTTACTGTAAATGCGAACAGATGGCAGCATAATCTATGTTTCCTTAATGGTGACAAAATCTATAAGATGAAAGGGGAAAAAGCAACTTTACAAATGAGTGTTTTATATTGTAATTTACTTATAAATGTTTTATTGTATGATCGGTCTTCTCTGTTCTCTGTGTCCAAGTCTGGGAAGATAAGTTTGAAAAATGTTTTGTCGAAATTTTACATTGACTTTTTAAGCAGAAAACTTATTATAATTCAGACTAGCTATTTTTGTGATAGCTAGTAATTGCTGCTACCATCTGCAGGATTGAAGGTAAAACAGTTTTTTAATATTAAATTTTTAGCATAATAAAAAAGCTAAAAATAGTTTAATTCTTCTTGATCGATATTTGAAGTACAGATTTTGAAAGGACGTTAAAATTAATAAGAATTAAAAAGATTACGTGTTATGATATAACATTATTTTAAACACTCTATTTAGCAGATTAATAACATTTTAACCTTCAAAGCGAGTTTTTTGAAGAACTTTTAAAAAAGATCTAAAAAAATTTGTGCAGAAATTTTCTTTATTTGTGTGGATGTAGTAAATCTAAAATAATTTCATGAAAATAAGATGTAAAATTTTCCCACATGATTAATGTTCTAGTACATTTAAAAATATGTAAAGACATCTTTTACATCATAGGTAAAATAGGAAGAAAAAAAAGTTGACATGCTCGACAAGACGAAAATGTCATTCTTTGTAGGTCGATAAAGTTAAGTTGTCATCCTGATAAGGAGCTTCATGTTTCGGATCCTCAAAGCATATCAACATTTCTTCGATTTCAACTATGACGCAAAAGAATTTTCTTTAAGTAAATATTTTGCTTCATACAGTTTTTTTGGAATCATTCGCTTCATGTTCTAGTAAAAATTACGCTGCTGAGAGCCTCATTATAATAAGTATTTCTTTAAAACTCTTCTCTATTATAAGTGTTTTAAAATGTTAGATATAATTAAAAATCTTATAAATAACTGCAATTAAAAATCTTCATAAGTAAGAAAGGCAGCTTTAAGTTACCATTGTCAAGCATACTTCACCTTAACTTCGAAAATTGTATGCAACTTATTGTTTCCTAAAAAGGGTAAATGGGACTAAAGTAAAGGATAAATGGGACATACGTATTTAAATTCTATTTCTACTTGTTGATCATATTATAAATGATTTGTTCGTTTTCTTATTTATTAATTTTAACAACTAGATTTTTATTTATTTACATAATTTAAGAAGCCCATAAATCTGAATTTTGTATTACAAATGACCCAAATATTTAGTTTTTTATTTTATTAAATGCAGATTGAAAGAAATCGTACTCAGATTATTTTTGTGTGCAGTGAGCAGATTAGCTTCGCTGTCGTCGACTCTTCGTTTTGCTTTTTTCGAATTGTTAGTCGTAAATTCCTTTATATGAGGTACATTTAATGTCGTCGTAGATTCCTTTCTAGGAGGCTTATTTCGTTTAGTAAATTCTTGCCTATTAATAAGAAGCGTATTTCCTATCTTAGATTTCTTTCTATGTGACGCATTTTTAGTCGTAGATACCTTTCCATAAAGTTTATTTTCTGTCATAGATACCTTTCTGTGAGACAAGAAAACATTTTTCCCTTTCAATATTTGCTCTCCTAAAAAACTAGGTGGTATGAATATTTGATTAGCACTATTTATTACAGTATTCATTATTATATTTATTCATACACTATTTATTATTATATTTATTTATTTAGTTATTTATTTTATTAAATACAGATTGAAAGAAATCGTATTCAGATTATTTTTGTGTGCAGTGCGCAGATTAGCTTCTCTGTCGTCGACTCTTCTTTTTGATTTTTTTCGAATTGTTAGTCGTAAATTCCTTTCTTTGAGGTACATTTACTGTCGTCGTAGATTTCTTTCTAGGAGGCGTATTTCGTATAGTAAATTCTTGCCTATTAATAAGAAGCGTATTTCCAATCGTAGATCTCTTTCTATGTGACGCATTTTTAGTCGTAGATACCTTTCCATAAAGTTCATTTTCTGTCATAGATACCTTTCTGTGAGATACCTTTTCTGTCATAAATTCATATTTATGAGATAAAATTAAATTTCCTGTCGTAGATTCCTTTCTGTCAGACGAGAAAGCATTTTTCCCTTTTAATATTTGCTCTCTTAAAACACTGGGTGGTATGAATATTTGATTAGCACTATTTATTACAGTCGAGCTTAGCTTTTTCAGATTTTTATTACTTGAATGATCTTTACCCCAATTTTGAATAGATTTGTTGGCTTTCGTGTATAATGAGGATGACATGTTAATAAATGAAAAAGGAAAATTATAGCTTCTAAATGGAGCGCAAGACATATCTGAAACAGAAATAAATAACGTATTATTTTTAATGAGGTAAATAAAATTAAAAAAAACAAGTTAAAATAAATTTACGTTTGAAAAGAGATGCATTTTTAATAAGAATACTTACCTCAGAAGACATTGACTCACAAGAACACTCTTATTGAAAAATTTCATAAGCAGGTGCATGTGGTACTCATACTCCAAGAAATTCGATACAAATAGCGCTATTCAAATTTTAAACTATTTTTCATTTATAATAAATGAACTAAATAATTTTAAAGGATTTAGTATTAGAGTTAATAAAAAATCTCATTGAACAACAATAGGAGATTAAGATTTTATCTAGAAGTTTAAGAACTATATTAAAAGTGAAGAACGAATCCGCAACATTTGATTGACGACGCACAAATGTGTACTTAGTACAAATGTATACGTGAAAAACTAAGGACAGTAAAACTAGCGGGAAATGCCTAAAATTTTTAAAAACAATTGCATGAATTATTCAAAATACTGAGCTGAATAATAAGCGAAATATTTTAACATGAATGATTCAAAATACTAATAGCATATTTAACGTTAATACACAGAATTACTAAATATCGTATTATATCGAAGTTTGGTGTATATCGTAATATTGTTTTGTTTTAGTATCATTGTGCGCACTGTCGTGTGTACTATAAGATATACTATAAGATCAGTATGGCTCTCTGCTTTGGTGGCTGAGGGCAGACGTACAACTAGAACGATTAAAAAAAATTGGTGATTGAGACTAGCCATACGACTACTAAATGGAAAAATTAATGTTAAAAAAGACCATTTATCAAAAGAATAAAATTGCTACACAAAACATACCTTCATCTTTCTTTTCATGATCTGGAACATGTATTGAAATATTAGAAGAATATTCATCAAAGTCTTCCATCTCCAACGAAAATGAATCTGCGTCCTGCTCATTACCATCTGCATCCTGATCATTTTCCGAGACATCCGAGAAAATTTCATCCTTGCTAACTGTGCTGTTACTTTCTTCTACAGGAAGCAAATTTTCTAGGACTCTATCAGGACTGTTTTTTTTTTTTTTTTTTTTTTTTTTTTTTTTTTTTTTTTTTTTTTTTNTGTTTTTTTTTTTTTTTTGGAGGAAATAATAAAAGAAGAGAATTATTGGTCAGCCTTATTTTTTATGGAAATGTAAAAGAAAAATGCTTGATACACTTACTGGTTCTAAAATCTAAGTCTGCTTCCTTTTTTTTTTTTTTTTTTAAATATCACCGACAAAGGGATTGATATAGGGATGGAAAGATAAAATATGTATCAAGTAGCACATTTGAATAAAAAAATAAATGGGATAAAATATTAGTACATTCAAATAGACATTATTTAATCACGACGTAGAAACTTTTAGATGTAGGTTATCACTGAAATTTTTTTATCACATATTACCTCTTAGTTTACAAAAAACACGCTAAGGAATATTCTGGAGGAAAAAAAACCTCACGTTTCCGAGATTTAAAAACATGGTATGGGCTGTTGAAAGTACATTTGGCTCAACCTAGAAACCATGATGCTAAATTGATACAATTTTAATTGCGTTAAATTGAACTATGTCTCCGTTCAAGCTAAGTCATAGTTCGTGTAATTACACTATAAAAAATTTCAGTTTATCATATCCCAAGAAATGAAAGAAACTATTTTACACAAAAATGGTATATTGAAACACCAATGACAGTCCTGGCTTAGTAAAAACCGCAAATGTATCATAACACTTTTTTTAGAGTTAAGCAGTTGCCAGAATTATTAGCGTCTAGCAACACTAAAACATAATATATAATTCACGTTAAAAATCATTTAAGTTATTTTTGCGTTAAAATTTATAATAAGAACTATTAGTTTAGAATGCATACGATTTAAAATTAATTAAAATACGATTAGCTTGCCTATCAGCCATACGCACATCATAAATCAACCACTTAAAACAAATTAGAATTAGGCTTAACAAAACAGAAGCTCATAGAAATTAAGCATCATGAAATTATTTAATATAATTGACATACTGATGTAAATCTTCTTATGGAAACACAGTTATCTTTAGTTTTCAACTAAAAACATGCGGTTTCTGTTGAATGTACAGCAACGTGCAAGATGACAACAAACTTACACCCTCTCGTGCTCAATAGCAAACAGTCGATATCCTCAGACGATTTTCAAACGTGGCCAAAATCGGTGTTTTCAGAAAGAAAAAAAAACACTAATAGTGTAAATGCGTGATTAGCATCGTGTAATCACACTTTCATAGATTTTTAACCCAATTTTTTGGTTTACGACTACTAATGTTCAACTCCGTAGCCTTGTAATTTTGAACCCAATCCAGAAAACAAGGAAACTCCTGGATCAAGTATTGGGAGAAATTTCCTTCGTGGACGACTTTTTAATGGAACTAACCTGCATTTGCGTTACATGGAGAGGAAGATCACGAGAACCTCCCACGATTAGCGTGACGGCAAGGGAACTCTAATCCATGATCCGTTTGAAACAGAGGATATTTCACTTCAGAACTGTGGTCCGTGCAAGCCGGATGCGGATTCATTTTGACCAGCTATCGCTGGGATTCAAACCCGGTTCACCTCATTGGAGGGCAAACGCTCTATCCCCTGAGCCATCGCTGCTCTAACCTATATATTAACTTGATTTAGTGTATTTCTATTAACATATTCATTCACAACATTTTTTTTTTCAAATGTTTCTTCTTTTTCATGAACTATAAACAGAAGCCAAATTTCATTTAACATCAAAATTAAGGTTTGCAACATAAATATGTAGTTCTGGGATGAAACGTTGTTAAAAGCCTTAACTATTTTGATATAGAGTAAAATAAGTGATATCTTACGTGCCGCAACTAAAATTATTCAAAATGCTCTTTCTATCCACTGGACAGGCAGATCGTACCCATCTCAACCAATTTTCTATGCAATATTCGTGGAACTGAAATAATAAATGAAAAAGATTTTACAAAATCAGCAAAATTTTTATTACAAAAATATTTAATGACTTAAAAAGCACCGAACAAACAAAACCACTTAATAAATTCCCATATAATTCTTCTAGCACATAATTGGTTTTTGAAAAAAATCACCAATTATTTAACTGATAAAAAATTTCTAATGTATTCATCATGCAACTAGTGATCATATTTTGCTAATCATTTCGGTTTTTATAATGTTTGAAGAAAGTGAAGATTTTCAGTAATAAAAACGCTTATAAAAAGTTCATAATAATAATTATAACGTATCCTTTATGCAATCTATAGTGGTATTTCAATAAAGTGTATTCCAGAATCTTCAATTGCATAGTTGATGGTATCATCAAACATAAATAGATTCTACTAAACACTACCAGGTTTATAAGCAATATTTTCTATTGTTCTCTAATTTACGAAAATTAGTTCAAAATAAATGCTACACATCATGTAATATAACTGCAACAACAACAAAAAATTGAGAGTCTACAGTTAAAAAGTTTTCTTCCAATGTATTGTATTGGGGTGTGGAAAAACTTACATTGTGTTTGCAAGGTAAGCAGATGATGTTTTCGCTGATTTTATAATGGCGAAAGCAAATCGGGCATATAGCATCTGGCGTTGTGTATGCACCATCTTTTCGAATGCTGTACTTCGGCAAAGAGTCAATAACATCTTGTGGTGTTTTCTGCCAACTATCGTAAAATAACATTACCAGTAAGTACACTACTATTTTAAAAGAAAAAGAGTTAAAATTGTTAAATTATATCATGTTTATTTTTCTCTTAATTCACTATTTTACTTAATCCTATTCGATAGAATGTAATGTATTGTTTTTTCTGGGTCAAGAAAAATCATTTAAAAATTAATCTTCAAAGCACTCATGAAAGCTCTCATAATTGTGTCAGTAAGTTAGTTTGGAGTCACTATTTTACTTAATCCTATTCGATAGAATGTAATGTATTGTTTTTTCTGGGTCAAGGAAAAATCCTTTAAAAATGAATCTTCAAAACACTTATGAAAGCTCTCATAATTGTGTCAGTTAGTTAGTTTGGAGTTATTAGAGTTAGTTTGGAGTCACTATTTTACTTAATCCTATTCGATAGAATGTAATGTATTATTTTTTTCTGGGTCAAGAAACATCATTTAAAAATGAATCTTCAAAACACTAGTAAAAGCTCTCATAATTGCGTCAGTTAGTTAGTTTGGAGTTATTGGCTCAAGAGCCAGTTAAGGCTATATCACGCCTAAAACTAGGTTTATAAATAGCAATTTAAATGCAGTTCAAAAACTAGATTGATATACAAAAATTGAAATAAGAGAAATCCTTGAAATAAGAGAAAATTTTGGAAAGGGGGTCATCTCAAACTAATAAAATTAGTGACGGAGGGAGGGAAGCTACCAAAGTGGCGTTGTCTCTGAAGTCTAAATATTTTACGCTGGGTTTCACAAAATATGTTTAGTGTGAGTAGTTCCTTACAATTGGAACACTCAGGGCTGATTTTGTTTAAAGAAAGGTGCTTATGGGTCAATCGAATATGACCAATACGCAAGCGGTATAGAAGCACTTCCAGTTTGAGACAGATTTTAATCCCTTGCCAGTGATGAAAGTTATTCAGCGTGATGCCCTTTTTTTTTACTCACTGTACAACGGCAGAATACCTTCGAATATCCAAATCTTTGTGGACGGACAGGACAATTATACCATACAAGTTTGACAGCAGATGGTAAAATTCGAGTGTCAAACATAAAGACAAGATGTCCTAACGTAAAGATAAGATCAAATCCTAATCTTATGGACCTCTATCTACAACATGCTGATCTTGCAGGATTTCTACGATAATACATTCTGCGTCATATATGAATTCAGCTTGAGATATTAGCTTGAGGAACGTAATTTTTTAACAGAGGCTACTTCTCCCATTGCGGAGCGAAGAGCCTTGTGTGTCGAGAATGGTAAAACTTTGAAAATTATGAGTTTGGTACAACAAGATTGATCAACATTATGATAAAATATCGAGCCTATATATACAGTGTAAAAGGTGTTCCGCTGTTTTGCATTGGTGAGTGGAACTCAACACCGCGCTACTTTCAGACATAGAAAATAAAACCACTTCCATGACCAGCCACAACACCCTAGACCAGGGGTGGCGACTCTTTATGCACGAACGTGCCATTTTTTCTGAAAAATTGTTTCATGAGGTCATAGACGTGTCGTCAAATAATTTTGACTTCATTATTGAGAAAATAATAATACAAAATAGTATCAACTCAAAACTCTATTTATTATTAAAAAAAAAAAAACACACACACACACATTTTGCAATGTCTCAGTCATATGCGTAATTCAACTTAAAGTAACATCAGTGTGACTTCTGTTGTTGCATATTAGATGACAAATAACTTATATTAGGTTGTAAGATGTTAGTTTAAGCAGGACTGTTAATTTTTTTTTTGCTAGTTATTTATTGTTAGCCTGTTTTTTATGGTTATTAATTGTTTTTTTGGCATTAATTGTTAATTTTTTTGTTAATAATTGCTTATTTATTATTTTTGTTTTTTGTGAATTCTAATTTGATTGTTAATATGCTTCATAGTGAACTTTGTGATCGGTGGCGTGTCCAAAATATTGTGTCCATTGGTTCGCCATCCCTGCCCTAGACAGAGTCCAACTAAAGAGATGCAAGCAACATATTGGCTATGACACCAATCACACAAATAATGTTGGAACTTATAAAAACGTAAGTAAGCATAAACCATTTTTTAATGTCCAAAATTCGATTTCTCTACGGTTTGTCCTAATTAGCATTTGTGGTTTGTCATTGTGTTCTTACAGAGGTAAACATTTGGAAAATTTCACGTGAAATACTCATTTCTTTCAGTAACTTTTACTTACTTTGTTTCACTAACTTCTTCAACAATGTTAAAATTCTGATGGGTTTCACTAATAGATGAACCTCGAATAGTGAATGCTTGCCCTTCCGCTGATATTGTATCTGAGAATATATGAAAGTAGAAAATACGAATTATTTCTGTGGGGAAACTTCATTGTAAATCACAACTAATGTTAGCAATTTGCATAATACGAAGATACAAGGTCTGTTCTTGTTTTTTTTTATAATAAATTCAGCTATTTACCGACCCACTGAAGAATTAAACTAGATTGAATTAAACGAAGAGTTGATAGCACAAAACCCACAATCGGCGAGACTTTGTCAAAATTAGGGACTTCTAACCAGGACTTATTGAATAGTTTCAGAGGAGGTGAGGTCAATTGCAGCTTGCCACGCATGCAGTGAAAGCTTTTAACTAAAACATTTGGTAAAGAAAATTTAATCTTAGATTAAGAAAATTGTAAAGCATTTAGTATCGTTAACTTAATGGCATAAGTTGATGAGTGAGACTTTTAGTATGCATTTATTTTGAGTAAATAAAAAGTGATGACAAAAGTATGTGGCTCTCAGTCTATTTCAGAAAGAGATAATGCGCCGACAACTACTACATCATTTTAATGATAATAAGTATCAAATTTGATTTAGTAACTAATCAACTAAATAAAGAAAAATATTAACCATTTTTAATCAAAGCCTTACTTACAGCTTTTAATTTAGTTGTTTTCTCCTAATCTAGTTATTTAAATAAATCGGATTCCAATGGGGGGTTCAAAGACAAATTTTACCTGTAAACACTCGATCATTAAAAAGTGATCTATATATGAAGAACACAGGTAAAGTGGTATAAAAGTGGTATTTGCTTATATTAAGTAGATATTTCTTCCTGTTACCAACTTTAGCTTTAAAAAAGCACTGTGTCTTGACTTCTGATCCAACTGAAAAAAATTAAAATATTGATATTTTGTGACAGACAGAACTACCTTCTTTCTGCAAAAAAATGAAACAATCAAGATGCCATTTTTCGCCTTTTTTTTTATAAAAAAAGAAAGAAAAAACTGACGCTAAACACAAATGAAGAGATTAGTAGAAGAACCGGCTAAGTGACATTTTTAAAAAAAGAATTTTAGATTTCTCGACCAAATATTGTACCAAAATATTGAATTGATTTTCGGAAAAATGTATAAGTTACAGCAAAATTTGTCGAGAACGACGCAGGACACGCTACGACATGTATGAACGAGTGAAACAGAGCGCTCATTTGATTTAAAGATTTTCTCACTCTTATCAAAGCATTTTAGCTATAATAATTTTTAATGAGAGATTCAAAGGGTCATTGGCAGTTTTGGAACAATTAGAAATAATGTATGTCCACAGCAACCAAACAATATGTTCGAAATAAAGATGACCGCAGGATATCAGCTGCTACTCTAAGAACACATAAGGTGCCACATAAAGGTAGATTGACACACAAGAAAAAAAACTAGACTTGCACTTGAGGATGATAGAAATGATGGAAAAGATCTGGTATTGATGCATTATATAATACACAGTTTATGTATTATATAATGCATATATCTGCAACAGAACTTTATGTATTTATATGGATTATTGATCACGAAACTATATTCCTCTTACTTGCTGTGTCTCTAACTGCTACGATTTTCATCCAATTTACTTCAAATTTTGACAGTGTTTGCGATAAATAAAGTTTTGTTGCTGATAGGGATTTTTTAATTGGGTGACTGATTTTGAGTAAGCTGCAAAAAATTTATTTTATCCCTTTTTAAATTTTTTGTTCTTAAAAATGCCGCCGATTTGTGAAGAAAAAAATTTTTTTAAAAATCCTACTAGCAACGAAAATTACATTTATGTAGTTTAAGAAATTAAAACGTAATCAAATTTGGATGATTTTTTTCAACTTATGAGTTTCGCAAGTTATGAATAATTTTAAACATGGTATTATATAAGCGGCTATTTTTCTATTTGTAATATGATAAAATGAAGATTAAAATGTGTATAATAATATGAAAAAAATTTATCAAGTTTATCACAATCGTTGCCAAAATTCATTTAAAAAAATCCTTTTTTATAGGCTTCTGTGTTGTGTAATAGAGAAAAAGAAACCGTAAAAGCAGTTTTAAATGCATAGTTCAAAGGAAAATATAAATTGCGTACAAATTCTTCGTCTTTTGAGCAGATAACTTAGACAGAAAAATTTTGGGAGGAAACTATTAAATAGGTGCTATTCAAAGTAAGCGGTTGTTACGAAAAGTATTCGTTTCAGATGAATAAGTAAATATGTGAATGAAGTATTTATTATTATTTTGTAAAATATCTAATCTTTTACCAAAAACAATTTGCGTACATTAAAATATTGCAAAATTTTGTCATTATATGATTTCAAAGGCAAAAAAATAAGCTACTTTTTTGAAAATAGATAAGTTTTTCTGTCACAGAGATGTGCGACTTTTTAAGAAAGTAAACCAGTATTCGACAGAGACTAGTCGGAACTAAAGCTCATGTTTAAGATATAAATTATTTATTTATATCATAAAAGTGAAATTTTTCTTATTTGTATGCTTTTTCCACCTAACTCTATTGATAGTTTGAGTTTGATGAATAATCAGTTACTGTGCATAAGTAAATTTAAAAACCTAGAACCTAAAGCAAATGATGATAGCAAGAACGAAAGAATAAAAAATTTTACTTTTGTCAAATTTTTTTTCGATTATTATCATTTATGTACAGAGAGCAAATCAATCTCAGCGTCCTAGCGCAACTAAGCAGTTCAAGCTTTGGCGAAAATAACGATACGTATCCTTTAAAAAACGTCTTATTATTATTGACGCCAGTGATGCTTAATTAATTGTCCCCTCCGCAGAGGATCAAAATTGTGATGGCATGTCTTCGGATCATCCTTCGGGATGTTTCCCAGACCGTCGCCAATAGCCCATTGTGCAGCTCTAGTGCGACGTAAATTAACAACAACAACAACAAGCTTAATTAATTGTGGTAATTGGTATACTACTAATATCGTGTAAGTAAATTTTTTTTCTGCCCCTTTTAACAGGTAAATAAAAAAATATCCAAAAAGCAGTTATGACAATAAGTCCCAAGACGACATTGCAAAAATCGAGCTAAAATTAAGCATAAGCAAGAAAATGTTATACGCATCATGAACTTGGGTTATAGGATCCTTCTCACGTCACCCTCGGCCACACAGATAGCTACACGTGTTTATCACAATTGAGTACTTGCACTTCGAGAAGAACACATATGCCCACACATGTGACCTATGACGTCAGCTCCAGAGGATCGTTTATAATCAAAATGGCGAGTTAAAATTGAGCTAAGTTTCCTCACATAAAGTAGAAAGTTAATTAACGTGAGGTTAATTAAATGCAGCCCCGTATCGCTCATCAAATTTGTTGAAATATAATTGTTTCTTGTCTAAATCTTTTACTTAACATAGATTTATTAATTGTTGCTTATATATTTTACTGTAACTGTGATATATTTTTGTTTCGTGTATCTGGCAACTTCGATGCATAGTTAGTTTGTTTATGTTCTACGTAGCTTCATGCCTGTCTTTGTGTTAAGTAAGAAATATATTGTAAGAGAATTGAAATCCTTGTGAAAGAATCTTAGTGAAAGTTGAAAGTCACTTGCAGGTACCCCATTCTTTGTTTATACTTTTCACAACTATTGCATTTCATTCCACAAACAGAGCAGAGCAAATTCAACCACTTTGTACTAACTAATCACGTCAGGCTTTGGCGTTAGGGAAACAAATTTCACTAAGTACAAAAAAAAGTTGATATAACAGTAATTCTCTTGATGACATTTTCAAAATTAACCAGACGGAATTTTATTCCCGAAAACAGTTGCCGTACACTGCTCCATAAATATTATTTAAAATCGGATCTTACATTATATACTCGTACAAATAAAAAAAAAGAAGGAAAAAAAAACGTTAGCGCCTTTAAAGTAAACAATTAAGATACATACTAGATTAAGATATATCCTTGGGTAAGAGAAAGGATTATCGTGACTCACGAAAACAGATTTTATAAGCTAATATTTCTAATAAAAAATATTACTCAAACTTAGACTTACCTTTTGAAATGTTCATGAATTGAATAACTAATTTTCAATTTATTTTAACTATAAACATTTTAAACTTCGACGCTGAAATTTTGCAAAAGGTTTTTGAATTTAAGAAGTTATTGGATCATTTCTGAGTCACGGAGCCATTGGAGCTCGCTCTAAATTACTTCGACTTATGAAAAGTAAATAATCGTCTGACAGTCGACTTCTCGAACGAATAAGTTTAGAGATTTCGCGTGACGTCATTATTCTTTATTTTATAATAATTCTGTTATCAATATTTAAAACAATTTTATCAGAAAAGCAAACTACAACAAAAACAATGTTAAATTAAATGGAACTTCTCACTTCAGAAAAACCACTCAAAAAATTCATTAAGTTCTCAGTTCATTAAGTAGGACTTCTCAAATCAATTAAGTGTGAATGAGAGCCAAGAGGTCGCACTTGTTCATGAAATATAATTTTGTTAAAACTAACTGGGTGAATATAAGCATATCCTAATACAAGAGAGATGTTTGTTATACTAGCCCTTGATTCTCACATTGAATATGAATGAGACTGGATCATTCCATTTATTTCAAAGGTGGGGAAGTAGAATTTACTGCGCATGCGTCGGAATTTACTCTCACCAGGGTTGCCATACGTAGTATTTTCAATAATTTGTATGGTTTGACTAAAAATGAGGGATGTAGTATTTTTCGTAGTATTTTTTTTAAAGTGTTGTACTTATTTTTTTTTTCTTAAATCAATTCTTATATCTGTTACCGGCAAAATATGAAATCCGGCATTATATATACATGACTAAAACTAACCAGCAAAGTATGAAATGATTTATATTTCACACATTGCCTAGGTAATGCCGGATGCTATTTAGGCAAAGAATTGCTGCTATTAGGCTGTGAATGACAGAAATCGGTGATTGTTGACTTTCACCGGTGAATGTTGACAATCACATAGTAGCTATGGTGAATGTCCGAAATATTTATTACATTCGATTTGATATTAATTT